CCCTCGCGCTGTAGTCCGGCAGCATGACGAGCGCATCGAAAACCAGCAGCGGCGCAAACAGCTTGACCCCCAAAAGGGCATCCTGGGGTTCCCAATGGAAGCCGCCAAAGGGGTCGATTTTCAGGAAGAAGCCGAAGAGGCACGCGGCGGTGCCGTAGACGCCGCCGTACTCGACGAGCAGCGCCACCAGGCGCCGCAGCTGGGGCGGGAGCTCCGGCTGGGGCGGGGGCTCCTCGGGGCCGCCGCCGGCGCTGCCGCGTTCGGGCTTGGCGGGGCGGGGGCCGGGCTGCGGCGCGGGCGGCTTGGTCGGGGGCGCCTCGAGGCCAGCGTCGCCGTCGGGCGCGGCGCGGGCGAGCCGGCGCGGCTGCGATCGTGGGTGCGAGGGGCGAGGGGCGCACGCGTGTGCTGGGAGCCGGAAGGTTCGCCGCCCCTGAAATCCCAGTAGCGGTCTGCGCTGGTTGGTGGGCGCCCTGCGCACCACAAAACTGCGGCACTTGTGCACAGCATGGCTGACCGTGTCAACCCAGGAGCGGCATCGCACTTGCCACCTATGCGCCACTGCCTGAAGCAGCGCGGCCGCAGCACAACGCTCACCTGCTGCCGGACGTGCCGCGCCACAGCAGCAGGCAACCATTTAGCCGCTGAAAATGGAGTACGTTCTATGCGAGCATTTCTACCCGGCTTGTGCACGAGCGCGCGGCACTGCATCGTGGCACCGGCTTATGATCAGGCGAGGGGCACTATTGCAATCCCAGGAAAAACGTTTTTGTCGGGATGATTTCACAATTGCAGCCGGAGCCCTTCAAATCTGTGCTGCAATTGCATCATTGCAGGCGTCAAGCTGGCATGTGCGGCGGTGACGTGTGCGTCCAAGGCTGAAAGGCTGGGCAAAGGGCCATTCTCCAGTGGCTTGCCCTTGTGGGCATGTGAACACTTTGACACGACAGTGCGCATTTTATAATCCTGAACGAACCCTAGTCGACATGCGCAAGGAGGCAAAGCACCACTGGTGCATGGTGCGTGCGCACATGCGCTCGTTGGTTTGGAACACTGTGCGCACGCACGCCTTGCCGGGGGAACGGGGTGCTACGGCAGGGTGCAGCAAATGCATGCGTGACCTGTGAGTGCGCAATTTTGTATGGAATTGACACACGATGCATACGTTTTTGCCTCGTGGTGCATGAGCGCATGGTCTTGCCAGTTGCATTGACCCGCATCGTGTGCTGCCTGCCAACACGCCCACCACACTTTCACTTGACCACTCTGCCCAACGCCATCCTCGGCATTGGCCCATTAGCCTGTCGAGTCGATTAAAATTCGACCAGATTGCAGGCTGTCTGAGGCACCCGCACCTTGGTTTCCACTGGCACGTTGCACCCTTGCTGTGACCACCCAACAGCTGTCACGACACCAGGCGAACCGCTGCGCCCTGATACGAACCGCTGCACACGTTGAGTGTGAGTATGCAACACCGCAAATGCCACTTTACTCATCGTTTTGCTGCTGTTTGGAAATAAAGAGTGTCCTTGGAAGATGCCGTTCTCACCCAAGCTCAGTCCTGCTGAATGAAACAGGCACTGACATTGGCTGGGTGGCGTTGCCGTGCGTTTTAGATGGTCGCTTGTCGCGAGTCGAAACAAAGGCAAGGACGAAAAAGGCAATAAGCGCACGGTCACCCATCAATACTGGGCTTTGCAAGTGGTAGCCGCCGCTGGGCAGGCCAGGGGGACGTTGGCATCAGATTGGATGATAAAGGAAGCAGCGATGCTGGTTGGCAAACGGGTCACGCGTAGAGCTTCAAATCATTCGTGGTTGAATGACTGAACGGTCCAATGCTGCAATTCCAAAGCTCTCCCCATGTTTTGAGCGATCAGCTCAGCCTATGTCGCATGCAGGGCGCAAGAAGTGGTGCTTTGCCCCAGTACATGTCAAAACAGAAATTGGTCTTGGCAAACGAATGCGTGCATGGCACGGGGTGTAGTACTGAAAGGGGGGACTTTGCACGAGAGAGAGGCCCACGCTTGCTCTTTGTTTGGCTGTGTAGCCGTTGTGTTGGTCTAAGTAGACACAACATAAAACGTGTTGAAATGGGCAGGCTCCTGAAGGCAGAAACACCTTCCTCCTGCGTGCTGTGCACAGTTGTGCCCAGACGCGTCTGTGGGGTAGGTGACGCGCCGAAACCTCGTACAGCAGTGCCGCACCCACTGCTGGGCGCGGCGGCAATACGTACGTGCAGGTGCCTTCGTGAAACACAGGCAGTCAGGTATCAGTTTTAAAATTATGTCTCCAAACTTGGCTGTCAAGCCGCACGACACCTTGCGCACTGTGAGGCAAGGCTTTGCTGGCTGGACCCACCGGAACCGAATTCAATGCAGCCAAGCAATGGTACGCATGCCCCGTGGATGTGAAGCCAGTGACACCCAAAACGGCAGTATCGAGGCAAGTAGACCAAGGGTTATCGCCTCAATTCATGGTAGGAACCACGAATATCGAGTCGTGCTGTGCTGTTTTGGCGATCAACGCAGCCGCTCGTCGCTGCCGCCGCCGTGTCTACGTAAGCGGGTTCCCGGGACGCCCATTGTCACGCCCTGCCCATGCACCCGGACCGCCAGGGAAGGGCCTTGTGGTTGGTGGCAAAATGGTGGTCCACGACGCCTCACGCGTTAATGGCCGTGAGGCAGACCGCCTTGAGCTCGCTGTCCCAGAACTTGGGCAGGGCGGAGTAGTGGTCGGGCCTGGGT